AAGGTTTGGATTGGGTGGTGGCTTTAAAAATGGTGTGAAAGCGTAGGGGGGGGGGTATAAGTGTAGGTTGGGGAACGAACTGGGAAATGACCCTCCCTTGCTGAAGGCTGTGCGTGAATGCTGGCTTTCCTGTGTTTGGAATCTAGCAGGCCGCAAAGACTGAGCTGCGGAAGGCTGAGGCACGTCAGCAGATTAGAGAGCAGGCCACGTTCCCATCCGATCCTATATAGTACAGTTAGCCAGCAGAGCAATGTGTGATGCCGAAGTTTTGTGTCCACAGACGCAGAAGTTGCAAGACAGTAAGCCGATGTGCTCACCGTCCCTCCCTCCGGCCCCCCTCCCTTTGTCCCAGGTGTTGTGCACGGAGCTGGAATCCAGCAAGCAGCAGCTGGCAAAGCAAGGTGCAGAGGCCCGCTCATTCGGTTTGGATAAGGGTAGCATGGGGTGATAGTGCCAGCGTTGCAACCCTGAAGTCGGAAGCAAGTTGTGCTGTTCAGCAACGCATAAAACATCATAAAACGGTATAGTGCAGGCACAGGCGGAGTCTTCGTCGCTGCGCGACGAGGTGGGCAGGCTGCGGCTCGACTGCAAGGAGACGGGGCGCACGCAGGACGAGGCTGATCCGGACGTAGACTTGCGACTGCTCCAGCTGCAGCTGTATGCTAGAGCCGGCAACGTCTCCAGGTTGGAAGAGTGCGCTGCTCTGCGATCCGAGATGTCGTCAGAGGTCGGCCAGGGTTCTGATCCTGGACGTTGATGCGTCCGTTTGCTTGTCACACAAGTCTGAAGAGTCGACGACCCACGCCAAAGTTCGCGTCAACTCCGGGACCTGAACAATGCAATCAAGACTGGTTTACAATAGCACGGACGAACCCTGTGTTTGCCCGGGGCACTAGACGATCCGGTAAGATGCTCTAAGTGATCGAAGGCAGGCGTGTTCTGTTTGTCAGTGTGGAGTCAGTGTGGAGTATGTGCTGGCCGGGATTAGGCGAAGCAGTCGCGGCTTGCTGGCTTAGCGGGGGCTTTCCTTTCCTGTATTGTCGCATGAAACAAGGATAGGTACTGCAGGTGGAGCAACCAGCATCCAGCAGTTTGATCAGTTGGCAGTTTCGGGGCTGTGGCTTAATTAATGCCCTGGACGTCGCAGTCGATTCGCCCCGTCGAATTCGCTGCATTCCTCTCCGCCTGGACCAGAAGGGCCTGACCAGTGGTTTTTGGCTGGGCAGGTCGCAGAGAGAGAGCAGCGAAGGGCCCAGGCCGAGCCGCAGGCCGAGCCAGGTCGCACAGTGACCAGGCCCAAGCTTTCAAGGTGCGGTCTGATTGCAGGCTGAGGACTTGGAGCTGTCGAGCAGCCGCTGCGAGGCGCGCGTTGTCTTGGTGAAGGGCAGAAGACTTGCCTTCCTCGAATGCTTCAGACTAGGAAGATGTTGGAAGTCGACGCTCAAGCAGTGTCAGCAGTGCGAAGTTGCAGGTGTGCAGTCAGAAGGATTGTGTAGTTAAGACGTCACGGGAGACAGCTGTTTAAGTCTTCTGTGCTCTGCTTTGACACTTCGGAGGGCCCAAGTAGAGAATCCGAAGGAGGCCATGATCCCTTGTAACTGGCAGGTGCAGACAGCTGTGAAGCTGGAGGACTATCTTTGCGTTCCTTGGAGTGTAGAGAGGGTGCAGGTTGCATGAGTCTACCGCCATGATATCGGGCTTTTCACTAGCCGGACAGGAGCGCCCCCTCCTAGGCCGACGACGTTCGGCCAAAGACTACGAGAGACGAGCGGCGCAGGTACAGTCGGGTTCGGACGCTGCCAAAGCGGAGTCGTCTTGGCATTGGAGCTTGCTGTGGAGCTTTGGTTCTGGCAGTGCCTGTTTTTGAACCTTGCAGACTTGCAGGTCTCCCTGCACCACAAACATCGAAAGCCTGCCGAGCTCAAGGAGCCCTGTAGTCGGTTCGAGACCTTCCGGCGACTCGAGGAGAAGACTAAAGCAGAGGGACCGGAGAGCGGCAATGGCTCGGAGCTGTTTCTGCTCAGGCACTATGTGCAAATGTCGGCTTTTCCATGGCAGCCAGTCGCAGTAGCGATCAACATTCCCGGAAAAGCTCTGGTAACAGACTTGAGGGGCCCTTCAATTAAAGAAGGTACCTTAACGGATCTGTCTGTGAGGGGACCTCTTTCACTCTGGCAATGACAACCCTGTGATGTAGTGCAAAAATGACGACAGTTCCCACCCCTCATGCTCGGAACCAGACATTCACGGTCTAAGTGGAGTCATGCGACTTCTGGCGCTATGCGTGCCTGGGTTAGTGGTGGCGACGTTTGTCGAACAGCGCACAGAGGGTGTGGGCTGCTCGCAGTGAAAAGAGGACAAGAAAGGTCCCAGCTGCGTGTTCAACTGGTACGTTGCTCAGCTGCAGGCTTTCAGTGTGCTCTTCTCCGCTTCAACTCCCAGCGGACGGAGCTAAGCTGCTGGGGCCAAAATGACAAAGGCCGTCCTCCTTGCAAGCCTTCGTGCATGAATCAGTGAGCTCTTGTGGAGGTCAGCTGGGCCAGGGCGACACACTGCCACGTCCGAACCAGCAGGAGCGGCCCGTGACTCTTGGACTCTAGTCAATTTGTTGTCCGCCCAGTTTGGTGCTGCCGGCAGGCACCGGTCCTGTTGGGAGCCCAGGCGCGGCCAGGGAGCTTCGAGGTCGCGATTGGGCTTGCGCTGGCTTTGAGTTTTGGCCAGGTAGTGCAGATCAGCAGCGGGGCGTACCACAGCTGCGCCCTCCTGCAGACCGGTGAGGAGAGCCTGAGCCAGCCTGACAAAAGGGTGCATGCTTCTATGTAGCGAGCGGAAGGTGAAGTGCTGGGGTGCGAACAATCGTGGCCAGCTTGGCTTGGGCGACTCTGCCAACCGCGGGGACGACCCAAAGGCGGGAAAGGAAGCTGAGAATATCCTCTGGTCCTCTTTGAAACCTGTTTTGTCTGTGTCTGTGCAGGAGATGGGCGACTTCCTGGCCCCGGATCTTTGGATGCAAAGCACACATCACAGGTGTCCTGAATTCGGCTCGGAGCTTTGCTTCGAGCTTCGCCTCGCTCTGAGGTCGGACTGGGACCTTGCAAGGCCCTGGAGGTGCGGCTTGGCCTCGAACACAGCTGCGCCCGGCTCGACGATGGCCGCTCGGCCACGAAAGAATCACCCCAGGACACCGCGTGCTTAGCGAATCGTGCTGCCGGCCTCCGAACTTCGGAAGACATCTGTGAAGCCAAGGGCGCGTGAAGTGTTGGGGTGCCAATGGCCAGGGGCAGGCCAGGCAGCCAATTTGCTTTTCGAAAAATGCTGTTTGCTTCGAAGGCTCGCACGGGAGGTCCCGCCTCCATCGGTCTTTGGCCATGGGAGCTTGGCGAGGCTTTGGCTCCTCGGCTGCAAACGGACGCCGGCGCAGCGTAGTGCCTCGGCAGCGCATTTTGCCGCAGCCCTGGTGCTCAGGTCCCAGAGCCCTTAGGGACTGGGCGGCGAGCGATTGGCCTCTTGGCAGGTTCCTGGCATCCGGGCAAAGATTCATGCGAATGCGCTCTGGTGCTTAGCTCAAGGTTTGTTTCAAGACCTTCACTGACTTGGCGTCCAAATGCATCCGAGGCATAGCTGTGCCATCCTTGATGACCAGACCTCCAAGTGTTGGGGCTCTGGAGCAGAAAGCACCTAGGCCACGCAGGCTTGGGGCCAACGTGGACTCTATGGTGCCATGCTCTGTGGTATGGTATGTGATCGCATCGCACGTGCAGTGCGGTACACATCTGATGTCAGATGTTCGAAGCTTCCGAGAGGTGGCTCCACCAAGTCTCACAGCCACATCGCGAGCCAGAAAGAGCCGAAAGACAACCATTCTGTGCGCGGCACATAGTCACAATCACGGTCGTTTTTTCCACAGTGCTCCTCTTTCACCTGACAGCTATTTGCAGAGATGCAACAAGTGTCTGTTGGACATCGTAGTCCTTGTGTGTCGCAAGTCCACATACAAGTCCACATATTCCTGCACATCATCGCAGTCTCAGAGTTGTTAACTTCAACCAATCTCCTGGATTCATGGATCCAGGAGCCGCGGCCAGCGAGTTCCCAGCATCTGCGAGACGTGCAGTTCGAGGTGATCTGATACACAACGGTATTCTAGAAATGTCACAAATCCAATCGGCATATATTCCATATCTTCCCGCGACAAATATTTGTAGCGTGAGTGACTGGTCAGAGTTTGTAAGGAGCTTCCGCTGACAGGGATACGATCTCCCTTCTTCCCTGCCTCCCTGCCTCCCTCTCTCCGGCCCCCCTCCCTTTGTCCCAGGTGTTGTGCACGGAGCTGGAGTCCAGCAAGCAGCAGCTGGCAAAGCAAGGTGCAGAGGCCCGCTCCTTTGGTTTGGATAAGGGATGATAAGGGTA